CGTCAGTGCTATTGCTTAGAGTTGGCGCATACGATCGTTCGCTCGCTCGCTTGATCAATCGTTCGATCGATCGATCGCTGCTGCTACTTCATAAATAGTTAGGCCCTTTATACTATGTATGTGTGTAGTTGAGTTTGTTTGCCATTGATTTTGTTGTGACTTTTACTTCTTTCTATTGATTGCTGCGCGCCTGTTCGAAAATCGATCGATTTGGAAGGGGTGTTTTTTGTAATTAGTTTTTCAAATTCATGTCATTAGCATAAAAGTGACAATTTTAATTGCACATAAAGTAATTTTTGGTGCCGTGAACAATAACAATTTGTAGTTGTTAGTGATCGATGAGCAACATCATTTTTGATATTTCAAAATTTGTACACTGCAAGAATTTTTTCAGATTTCTTTTTTGGTAGGGTTTTGAATTTTATACATCGCTTGAATTTACGTATGTACACACAAATCACATACGTATGTAAGTAATCTGTACGAAAAATTCTTGTAAATTTTAGACCAGAAAAGATTTTTTTTAATAATACTCAAATATGTATTTTTTTTTTATTTGTATATTATTTTTTATTCACATGTATTTTATTTTCTATCTCTTTCGATAACTATTTAATTTTTTCACCGTTTCAATATATATACATTTAAACTTTTTATTACGCAATTTTATTTTTACTTATAAAAATGTAGCTACTAAAGACTTTTATTTTTCCTTTTAAAATATTCAATTTAATTTTTTTATTCATTTTTGGTGAAATGTATTATATTTTTTTTAAGTCATTTACTAATTTTTTTATTCTACTTTATTTGATATTACTTTATCTAATTTTGTATTTTGTTTTATGACGTTTAAATTTAATATCTTTATTAAATGAATATCTTACTCTCATTAACTGTTTGAATTTTGGTTTTGTTTTATTTCTTAAAGTTCAGTTTTATTGTTTTTCTCTTACTTTTTGTGTTTTTATTTTGAGTGTTATGAATATGCACTTTAGAATTTTATCTGAAAGAAAATAAATGGAGGGACCCACAATTAGAAAAAACTTTTTGTAATTACGATGTTGCTCGGACCAGGGATCATATTCAGGTCTTATGGAGTGGTCGTACGCACCTCTAACCAATTAGTCACAAGGTCGTACCCATTTTTTAACTATTTATTTTTTTGAACTGTTATGATTTTATTTTAACTTTTTTATTCACTTACTTAATTTTTTGTTTAAACTTTTTATTTATTTTGTTAAATTTTTGTTTAATTTAATTTTAAATTTTTGTCTTACTACGTTTTATTTTATTGTTTTATGGTTTCTTATTAAAATGTTATTTTTTAACGTATTTAATTTTTTATAGTATTTTGACTATTTAATGTTTGCTTTTTTATTATTCTTCACTTATTTTTTTAATTATTTTTAATTAATTTATTTTTCAATTTATTTTATTTGTTTATTGTTTTATTTTAGTTTTTGTTGGGTTCCTATTATATTTTTTAAATATTTTTTATTCATTCACTTTTTTATATATACATTTTTTTAAATTGTATACCTTTGAATTATGTAATTTTATATTTTAACTTTATAGTGTTATTTTTTATTTTTTTATTTTAACTTTATATTTGTGCTGTTTTTTATTTTGTTTTTGTGTTAGTTTTTACTTTATTTAAATTTTTATTATTTCATTTTTTCTTTTATTTTTTGTTTCATATGCTTTTTTATTTCAATTTATTTTATTATTTATTTATTTATTTATTTAATTTTTATTTGTTTCTCTGTGGTTTTTGCCAGTGTGATTTGATTGTTTTTGCTTCCCTTTTGGAGCTATGCGATCTCAAGTTAAATAAATGTATGTAAAGCACATACTCACATAGGTCAATTCGTACATATACACATACATACAAACTACATAAGTATGTTTATGTATAATGTATGTATACTGAAGGTCCTCTGCCATAGCCAGCACTTAGCAGTTCAGATCGTTTTTTTCTCACTACTTCTTCTTGCCCATTCGTACGTAGTATTGACTTGTGTTGGACTGCATAAACCAAACAAAAAATTTATAAATAAATATAAAATTCTCAAGGCCCTTTTATCATTTACTAGCGTGTGTGTGGCTGCTCAAACTAATGAAAAAAAAAAACAATTTTTTACTAACTACACCACTTCAGCGCATTATTCATAAGCCTTTATGTATACACAAGCGACTGTATATTTGTTGGTATTTTTTAAAATATTTGTACTCCGAAAATTTCAATTTCAAAGAAACACGCATTAGTGTAGTACTTTAGTTGGTTGCTATTAAATTTTGTGCGCCTGCTGCATCTCAGATTGTTGCGTAAGATTAAAAGTTCTTCTCCGTCGCTTATGTTGACATAGAACGGAAGTCGTTTTTCTTGTACAAAGTACTTAAATAAACAAAAATGCATAGCTAAAGCAGGATCGTTCCGTGTTTCTTTGCACGTTCGTTCACAAGCAGCTGCCTGCCTGTTGCGCAACTTTGCTCGCCTGGCACGAATTCTTGACCAAACAGATCCGTTTTTCTTTAATTCTGTCTTGCGCTTGCTCGTTGTTGCTTTATTCGCCCCCAGTGTGTTCTTAAGACGCTTCTAGTTGGACCGCATTACTCGTAAAATAATTGTGTTTTTTTTTGTTCGCTGTTTTTCTTTTAGTTGAAAAAGAAGCCGCAAAAGCCGTCAGCAAACAAAAAAATCATTGAAAATCAACGCGACTTAAACTTGCACTTGTTTTACTAGAATTACATAACCGATGTACCTGCATACGCGGAAAAGTTCAAAATTTAGATGAAAATTTATTGAATTTTTGTAAATTCTCTATATAGTTTGAAAGTTTGGCTTATGTGGTTTTTGTTAAAGCATGAACCATATGATGAATTTTAATTTGAAAAACATTGCAAATATTTAACAAAAATCACCATGCACTCACTTTTGATCGCCAGTGTATTCTATAAGAACTGTACATGGTAGGGCTGTGCGATTATTCGATTACTCGAGCAAGTTGGTTAATCAATTATTCGGTTAATCAATTACTCGAGTAATCAAGATTTTGATTACTCAAAACGATGATTAATCGAGTTACTTGAAATATGATTCCAATTAATCGAATAATTGAGTTATTTACTTTATGATTAATTAAAATTTTGAGTAATCAATTAATCGCACAGCCCTAGTACATGGTGATTTTTTTTTTAATATGTATTTGGAATGTTTTTCAGACAAAAATTTGTGTGTTATTTTATTTTATAAAAATGTGGCTCGAACTAACAGATACTATTCGAAACCCAAACCTAAAAAAGATGTTTAGAAGTTGGTTCTAGGCTCTGATCTTATGTTATTGATGTACAAGAAGGTAATTCTCCCAATTATTGCATACGGTTTGCTGTTTGGGTGGAAAGCTTTGAAGACCACTTATACAGAGTACAAAGGGTAAACCGAATTGAGATTAATGTGGCGATCGAATAAACTGCGGACCCTGGAATCGAACCTGGGACCTGCCGAGCCTAAGTAGTAGTTAAGAGTTAAAGGAAACTCTATCCCTCTGTAAAAATTGTGATCAGATGGATTAAAATCATGCAGCTTTATTTTCAAGATTATTTGCGGCTGGCGTCACAGTTAAAAAAAAAAGCTGACCATTAGGAAAAAAAAGCATTCGTTAGCAATTCTCAACTGGGATCTTAACGCTTAAGATCTTTATAATAAAAATCATACTTAGTTTAACCGTTGAAATTGGATTGCTATTTTTCCGATCAAATTTAACCGTTATTTTATTATTTCTTATTTTCCGATAAATTTTTTATCGTTATCTTTTATTTTTATTTTTCGACCATATTATAAGCGTTATTTTCAGATTTCATTTTGTAGATCTTATAATATTTAAATCGGTCATAAAATCTCAGTCCCGTTAAAAAGGATCAAAAACAAAGGAAAGTACAAAATAGCGATTAAATTTTACCGAGGAAATAAATATACAAATATGTATAACGATTATTCTTGATGAAAAAAATAAAATTCAAAACATAACGATTTAGCAATGATCTAAAACTGAAACTTGATATTTTACGGCTATTTTCCATTCTTGGTTTTCAATGCGAATTTTATTGTTACATTTGAAATGGTATTCGGGATTTTGTTTGTAAACATTGAAGAAACATGGCAACTCTTCTATAAAAGAAGGAGAAAGTTTCCATGCGCTTAACCCGGTAACTGAATTGTATATTTAATATCCAATTCCTTCTTCATTTTAAAACTGCGCCCATACAAGAATATAGTTTTTGATAAACACTTACTTTTTTGATATTTTAATTTTTATGGCCTTTTATATTGCTGAGATGTTTAACAATTTATTTGATACGAATTTACAAATTTTTTTTTTAGGTTAAAAAATTCTGTATGGCAACCCTTTTTGAATGAAATATGGGCAATGTCGCATTTCTCTAGAATTACTTAGATACTAATTTATGTGTTCATTTTTAATTAAAGAATTTTGATAACTGTTAAAAATGTTTTTTTATGTTTTGGATGCCTATCTCATGCAAAAAAAACATGTTTGCTTTAAAAGGCTCTGGTGAAGTTTGCTGTTAAGTGGTTCACCCTGATTTACTTAGCCACCAATTTATACCATATAGCACTCTTCTGGGTTTGTTATCTACAATTTTTCTCTTTTTCGCTCTGTTTACATTTTAATCAGTTCGATAAGTTGCTAGCAAGATAAAGCTAATCTTCACCTTATAAAATATAAGGAAAATATTTTAGTGCTAAAACTGAGCAAAATTGACTAGTTACTGCAATTTTTGGCGACTACAAATAATGCAAGCAAAATGAAAAGCCTACTTAAAAAGTACTGAATTTTTCATATCATATATTTTCATATATATATATATATATTTTTAATATTTCATGACATTTTTTAATGTTTAAATTTTCGCCTTCATTAAATTTTTAAACTTTTTTGCAAAATCCTATTTATTAATTAAGTACTTTTTTTAATTTCCAGAACCTTCAGTAATGGTGCCAATGATGCCAATATCATTCCGGAACGTCGTGCTCGTCTCAATACGGCACCTGGTATGCGCATAGGCGTCGGCAGTGGTAGTGGCAAGCGATCGTGCAACATAATACACGGTTCCACACACATTACCGACGATAGCAGTACAGAGAGTTTAACGCCTGGTAGTTTTCCGGGCAGCTTTACCGGACGTGGCAGCATCAGTAAGAGTGTACAAATCAACGATGCAAAGGATTTACGTTTCCTCAATACACAAGCGCACAAACAGCATCAATATAAGGATAAGCGTGTAGTGTTGATGTCACGCAAAGTGCCATTTTTCATATTCTCGGCACTGCCCTACTACAAGGGTAAAAACGGCAGGTGAGTAAGCAATGGGTCATGAAAGGTGTGAAAGATGGAATGAAATTGAGGTTAAAGATTATTTTAATTTAAAAAACTTATTATAGAAGAATGGTTTTCTTGGGTTTTATGTATTTTTTTATTTACACAAATGTATGTATATCAAAATGATTTTTATTTTTATTTTTTTATTTGTTAACAAATTTTTATGTATGTTCAAAATGAATAAAAACGATAGTTTATAATAATATCTAAAAGAATCAAAATTTAATGAGCAAAACGATAAAAAAAGGAAATTTCAAGAAAATTATCAGATATTAGAATTGTTATTTTTTATTATTTTATTATTTTATTTATTTTTTTTATTAATTTTGTATTTATTACAATACCTTTAAATTTTCATTTTATTTTGATAACTTTAATTTTTAAATTTAGTTGTTTATTATTTTATTTCAACTAATTTATTTAATTAATTTTTATATTCTTTATTTTATCTTGTTTTTATATTTTAAAATTTTTAATTTTTTGTAATTTTTTTAATTATTCTCAGTTTCCTAAGTGGATCCTCTTTATTAGGTCATATTTTATTTAATAAAAATTATTTTATTGAACAATTTTTTTATTGTATTTTATTCCAATCAATTTGTTTAATTTTTATTTTATTTTATTTTTTTCAAATAATTTCCATTTGAAATTGAATTCACTAACACAATCGTCTCCCTTTTCACACAGAGCCGAAATACGTAAGGAGGGTCGTCGACGCAACACATCCGGTTCACGTCCTCTATCGGCAATTAACGATGCACCATTTGATCCATTCGACCTAATGGGCATCGAAAAGGGTGAAAGTGGTCAGGTAAGTGCCAACTAAATAAGCTTTTCTTATAAATAGTTTGAGTGAAAATTTATCATTACAGGAAATTTCCTATGGCCACCTACTCATACCCTCGCGCCACTATGGCAAAGAGAGTAAAAGCAAACATGGTGGTGTCGGTGGCACTTCAGGCAATACATCACTGCTGGAGAGTCAAATAGAAATTACAAGTACAGCAGCACTTAAAAATCATGGCATTGCCAGGTGAGTGGAACAGTGTGAACACCCAGATAAGATACATACATACATACATATGTATATAGATAATTGGCGAGGAAAATCGACGACCGAGTGGGTGTTCAGAGTGGCCTTGAACTCTGCTTTCACCCTCAGCTCCTCCTGCAAAATTTCATATAATAGCACGCACGCACAAACACTTACACTTAATCGAATTCTCCCAAGGCAAACTATCTAATTAGACACCACCATTTTCATTTTACTCTAGAAAAAACAAAAACACATCTACATGACTCTCCCTGTGTGCTTACAATATTTACTAACTACATGCTTCGCAAATCGCTAAAAAATAACCCTCCCTCATTCTCACCATTCAGCTAGATACCTATAAAAATAACAGTACCTAATATCAATCGATATCGTATATTTGCATTTTAGTGTAGCGTAGCTAGAAACTAAAAGCACAACGCAATGTACAATCCAAGCAATGAGGCAGCGAATGTAGAATTTAACGATTTCATTTATTTTTTCTTAATTCTCTTTTTTTTTGCTGCCCATCAGGCGTTTTTCACCACCACCCAACTACACTGACGTCTTATCTCAAGCTTTTGATTGCTTACATTTTTATGCGGCGCAAGCATTTTATTTCCCTGTCGCTTTGCCGGAGTTTTCCATGCCAAATCGTACTAAGGCATTTGCACTGCACCCCTGGTCCGAATGTCTTCGCGCTGCTTCGACGAAGTCAGCCTGCGCTGCGTTAATTAGTTTGGCGTTGTCAGCTATTACACGCTTTTATTGTCTAGTTGACACGCAATTTCTTTAGTGAGCTTTGTTTTTGTTTGTTTTGTGGGTGTGTAAATTTATTTATACCCCCCAAAATAGTCAGAATGTCTTTAGCAAATTAAAGCATGACCTCACGCAATAAATATTTTATCGGCAAGCAATGTTTTCCTCTGCCTAAATACAAGGTAATATATAGTAAAAAGTAAGACTTCGAGCAGGTTAGTAGTCAAGAGCAAGCTAGCGGTTTAGTTTTGTTATTAACTCTACGAAGTCCAGTCCATCAAACTAAAAGTCGTTAAAATTGAGAAAAAAAGATTTAGTAATTTTTGAGATTAAAATAAAAACCATTAATTAATTTTGTAATATTTACTTCGTTTGATATTTATTTATTTGGTAAAACTATTCTCTTGCTTCTCGCGAAGAGCTGTTCAGCCACTTTCTTATACAATAGATAACCATAATTTGGAACAGGTATACAATTTCGTGGACCTTGGTATCACAATGGATCCGAAACTTAATTTTAATCTTCCCATTAATGTGAGAGTCAACAAGGCTAAAGGTGTACTTGTATTTGTGAAACGATGGTCAAAAGAATTTAGTGACCCTTATATCACTAAAACCCTGTTTACAACATTAGTTAGACCGATTCTGGAATACGGTTCGGTGGTTTGGAAGCCTAGGTATCAAATTTACTCAGACAAGATAGAATCAATTTAAAAACATTCCTACTTTTTGCTTTAAGAAATTTCCGTTGGGATTCTCAATATGTATAACCGTCCGCCTTATACGAGCCGATTAAAACTTATTAATCTTTCTACACTTGTCAGTCGCAGCGAAATGCTTGGTACAATTTTTTCGGTTAAATTACTGACAGGCTCAATTTCAAGTCCGCTTCTTCTGGGTGAAGTTAGCTTTAATGTTCCCTCCCGTGTATCAAGACATCCCCTACTTTTGAAAACTTGTAAAACTAATTTTGAATTACATGAGCCACTGCACTTATTTCTTCTTACTCTGTAGAACAATTTAAGTTTTTTAAAGGGCTAAATAAAATAATTTTATGCGCTAAATTTTACTAAGAGTCACCAAAAAAAGCAATCAATTGTGATGATGTGGAACGGTATCCGCTAGGGTCGACTAGCACGCCTAGATGGTAACGTTTCGGTATTATTTCATTCGAGTCCCTTAAACTGATGTTCCACAGTGTTATCTGATCGGTGATCATTGATCGATTTCTCTAAATAAATACCGTGTAAAAAAACACTTACATATATACACTACAATAAAAGTAGAACACAAAGAATTGAAAGCATTCTCGATCTCAAAAATAAAGAAGTAAATACTTATAGAGCACTGTTCTTGACGATCTCTTATGTAGACTGCGTGATAATGTATTTAGAAAATAGCTCACGAAATTGCACGGTTTCAGCTATCTAAATAAAGGAGTTATTAAGTAAAAGCTCTCGTATCTGAGCAATCAGTTATATGGGAGCTATAAGTTAAAGTTCCCGATTATTGTCGTTTTCACTGTTTACATCCTATTAATAATAACTAAAAAAATAAATAGTGCACAATTTCATGTACCTATCTGCATAAATGTAGGAGTTATAGCGCAAAATCTCATATATATGTATGTTGTAGTGGTCCAATTTCGCCGGTTCCAACAGATGATTAATAGATTATAAGCAGACACCCGCTTACCAAATTTTAGTCTGATATCGCGGAAAAATGGGGGACTAAATTGTGTGCATACAGATAGACAGACGAGCATGGCTAAATCGACTCAGCTTGACTTCTGATCATTTGGTAATACTTTTAAATAGGTCTTACTCTTAATCTTGTGGACCAAAGTTATAATACTATTTTATGTTCTTGAAAGGTATAAAAAGCAAGAATTATTATTATTTTTACTTTTCAAGAACCGTTTAGTTTTTCGAAATATACCAATTACCTTAGAGCTTCGAATTTAGCACCCTCAAATACTTATATAAGTATTTGTATTAAGTACTTCCTAAATACTTCGAATCTTATTACCTTGGTTTTCAGCAAATCCTACACAACCGTGTTTTTTTTTTTTAATTTAGTTTCTACGCATCTCTAAATAAAGCATATGGGTATTTTAGTACCCATACAGCAGATACTTTGAATACAAAAGTATTTAAGTATGACCATCATTGGTAATATAACTAAATTACTATACCATTTGCCTTTCTATGTTGTAGAAATTTGTTGCGATCAAATTAATTCAGTTCAGCAATTCTGCATAAAATCGGAAACCTTAACAATTAATAAACAAACAAAACAGAAAATTTTACCAACTCTGTAATTACTGAAAAGAATACTCAAACTATTAAATGGCCACGAAAATTTCATCATACTAATGCCTCTTTGTGTTTATTTATTTTTTATTTCAACTTAATTTTTCTTCAATTATTGTTTTGTTTTTGTTTTTTGCGAATTGTATGCATCAGCTTTGGGAAAGGGCTTGTGTTGTTGTTAAATTTTTTATTTCTTTCTTTTCAATTTACTCGTATTTTATTTTGTTTACCTCAATATGCTTTTTGTTAGTAACTGTTTCTCGTTTGCTTACAATTAATTTTTGCATTTGGACACCTTTTATCTTTGCATTTTTAATATTTTATATTTACTACGCAGTTTATGCAACACAATACATGCTTATATACATACATATAAATATTTTAAATGTAAAGAAATTCGAACCCTGCTGCTGATGCATACATTTGTAGTTGCAAACAATTTGTTTATATTTTTTTTAGCGATATGGAATTTTTGCGCATAAGCAAATTTTTATTATTATGTATTTTTTTTTAAGAAGAATATTTGCGCATTAATTATTTGCAAATCAAGTGACCAATATTTATGTTTACGTTGTTTTTTTTTTTGAAATTTGAGTACTACTAAGTCACATGTTGAACATTCCTGACCACAGGCAATTACATACATACATAGTTACTTAGTGTATTGCAAATTGTACATATGTATTTTCTTCTTACTCTACTGAGTTAAAAATTGCACCTTTAGCAATCTATTAAACATGCAAAAACTTCCAAGCACAGTATTTTGCTGCCAGTTTCTTTAACATGTGATAAATATTTAATTTGGAATCTTTATTTTTTGCGCCATATATTTACAGGACAAAAGTCATAACGTGGCAGAAGGGAAAATGGTAACTAAAAGAAATAAAAATATCTAAGCGTATAAGTGTAAAATTTTTAAATTTAGTTGTTTGCTGATTAGTGTACGTACATATGTATGTATGTGTAGTTTAACGCCTAGACATACGGTTTTAGAGTGTTCGAAGAACTTTTTTAATATTATGAATTCTGTTCAAACTATGTACAAGGAAATAAAAATGAATAATAAAAAAAATATTTAAATATTAAAAAAGTATACATAATAATAAAAAAAAAATAAAGAATTACAAAATTTCAAATTTAAAAATAAAAGATATAGAAACTAACTTAAAATAAAAAATATAGATATTTGTAATACGGTAGCTACAAAATTAAAATTAAAATATAAAGCTATAAAAATTGCTATTAATAAATTTACAAAATTTTGAATGAATTCCAAAAGTTATTTAAAATAATTAGAATTGTGCCTTTTTTGGAAAATTAAAAAAAAAATCAAGAATTAAAAAGCTCCAATTCCCAAACAGGCTTAAATATATTAACGCTCTTTAAACATTATGAAGCCGTATTTCCTGTTTAAAAAACTAACCCTGGTTACTAAAAATGCTAAAAATGCTAAAAATAGATCTTAACGACTCCATTCCTATGGGAAGAATCGTGTATCCATTGATTTCTTTAAAGACTGCTTGTAATCTATAAGTACTTTAATTAAAAATGTTGAGAGCGAAACATTTTGTTGAGCTTTTTCGATATTTGTCTTGTGATGCAAATAAATTCAGTTTAATTTGTACAAATCAACGAGTTAATTAAAAAAGAATACAACCAAAACTAAATTAGATTATATTAATTTAAATAAAAAAATAAATAAAGCAAAAAATAATAAAGTTGAATAAAATGTAAATAAAAAATACTAGTTAAACTAAATTTTAAATTAATTTGTATTATGTGCTTAAAAAATTAAAGTAACCTAACTTATATAAAATAAAACACTTTAATAAAAAAAAACCAGAAAAAATTAAAATGAAACAAATTTTATAATTAATTTGAAAATTAAGTAATTGAAAATTAAGTAAACATAAAATAAAATATAATACAAAATAAAATAAAAAATACATATAAAATTAACCTTTAATTTCTTTTATGAAAAAATAATTGTTTAGGAAATGCAAAGCTGGGATTAAAATGTATAAACAAGTAAAAATACAAATAATCAAAAAAAAAATACATGCAACTTAATACAAATTAGACTAAATAAAATGAAAAAAAAAAAATATATATATATATATACATAATTGCAATTACGTTATTCAAAAAAAATTTAAATTGAAATATAAAAATATAATGAAATAAATAATCTTAATTAAACAAAGAAGACGCATTCACTTAAAAAAAATGTATTAGTAGATATTAAAAAAATAAAGAAAATAAAAAATAATATAATAAATGAAACAAAGAAATAATAAATAAAACAGAATAATGAAAAAATAATAATAATAAAAAAAGAATATGTACACAAAAATTGGAAAATGGAAAAAGTAAATGAAATAAATTAAAATTTCAAAATGGGATGAATTGTAAAGTTAAACAAATACGTAAATACTTATAATTTAGTTAATGTATATGTATACATAAATTTAATTTATTTAAAAAAATCGAAAATTAAAAAAAAAAACAACATCATTTCTCACCAGTTTTCGACGTAGTGCATTTTCGCTTTTTATTTTCCTTTACTAAATGCCACTGAATCGCTAACATTTACATATAAAATATACTAACATCACTAGAATACAAAACGCTTTATGCCATAACTCCAACATAATACTCCAGCAGCATAAAAGCATAGCACACAACAATTTATAAACACACTTTTTATTGTTTCTTTTTTTTTTTCAAAAGCAAAAGAAAACTAATGTCGATTTCGTTTCTACCGAAAAATGCAACCTTCTCTTTGCCTACTATGCACAAACACTAAGAAGAGGGCGATGAGAAGACACATTTTTTGTAGAAACGAAAACGCCATAAGTTTACAACACAAAAGAGATATGTGTTCACTTAAGCCCAAAAAAGGCTCGCTAACTTCTAAAATATCAGACATTTTTCTATTGATTTGCCAAAATTCGAGTTGCATGTTTTCCAACTTTTTTGCGTCTAAAAGAATACACCAAACTTATTTTTATTTGCATGCATTTAAGCGTTAAACGTCTGTAAAGGTTGTTTAATTGCAGAAAAATATTTCAGCAACATCTTTAAAAAATATTTTTTGTTTCTCTAATTCTCCATTCAGGTGCTTCACTTATGACAATGCACATCGCAATAGCACCGCAAGTCCCACACCAGACATCAAATTGGATTTGGATGATAATTTGCTATTGTGTACCGATGGCACGCGCGGCATGCAGGTGAGTCGTGGAGATTTAAAAAAAAAATTTTATTAAACTAAAAACTCTTGTAACTTTCATTAGTGCCAATATTCAGCAAATATTTTGGATGATCCCGAATTGATTGCGGGCAAGCATCGTACATTGCTCACGTTCACTTCATATATGACATCGGTGATCGATTATGTGCGTCCATCAGATTTGAAGAAGGAATTAAATGATAAATTTCGTGAAAAGTTTCCACACATACAATTGACATTGAGCAAGTTAAGAAGGTGAGTTGGGGTACTAAAGGTATTTCAATTTATATGAAAGGCAATCGAAATGGATTGTGTGATTATTGAGTGTGGATACTTAGGTCGTCGGTTTTATTTTGGTTCGATTCCCAGTGGGCTTAGGAGAGTCTTAGGGCTCTGGCTGCTGCTTATGAATTTCATTTGAATATCTTCAGTTTCAGAAGCCACTTAACGTTCTATATGTTTACTCTTAACAAACTGAAACACATCGTTTTCAGTACCTACTCATTACTCCGGTTCAATTCCCCGCAAAACTTGCTAGCCAATAAATCATCTTTCGCTCTCTTACGGGCCTCTGGCCAAATTATAAATCCCCTTTACTAATTCAAAACCATTTATATATCTCTTTCCAGCATCAAACGGGAAATGCGTCGCATCAACAAGCTGGATAGTCGCATCGATTTGGTCACAATATCACAGGCATATGTATACTTTGAAAAACTAATTTTGGGTAATCTGATTAATAAGAGCAATCGTAAGCTATGCGCTGGCGCTTGTATGCTACTCAGCGCTAAAATGAATGATGTCAAAGGAGAAGCGCTGAAAAGTTTAATTGAAGTAAGTATGAATGAAGTTGCAGTCCACCGAATATCGAACTAAATTACTATTCCTCTCCATACGCAGAAAACTGAAAATGTATTTCGTCTCAATCGTAAAGAGTTAATCGCATCAGAATTCGTTGTACTTGTGGCATTGGAGTTTAGCTTGCATGTGCCAATGCATGAGGTGTTGCCGCACTATCAACGTTTACTATACGAATCCTAGAATTGGCCAAAACGCTTTGCCGAAAAGCGCTTGGTAGCGGTGACATCGCATTATTATTTTCGGCGACGGAAAAGCAGCAAAAAATAAGTATGAATGAAGGCATGAGGTGGAAGAAATGTGAAATGAAGACAATTGGAAGCGAGTAAAGTTGGAAGACGCTAACTGAAGATGAAGAAGGCAATAAATTTGATTAAGAAAATAATTAAGATAATAGCGATTTAGTATATGAAGTAATATTGGATTTTAGAGCAAGTCATTTAGTGGAATAATATTGAGAGAGATAGTTTGTGAGCGCAGGTGGCGTAGCTTGCAGCAGTGGGCTTTTGAAAAGTATGCAGTTATAAATCGAGCCCTAACCGCAAAAGTAACGTAAACGACATTTTATTAAAATTTTCTTTTTGATACAGAAATGCACCAAAAAATAAAATTTTGGGAAAAATTCGCTTAGGTTTTTTTACGGTTAGTGCTCCTAATTTCTACAAATAGCAAACTTTAAGATTTGATCGTAAGAAAAACTAAGTTTTATCAAAGAACGAAATTGCTATACAATGATATTTTGAAAACGTAAATTTGTACTTAAAAGACACTTAATCTGAAAGCTGACGAGAATAATAATGTTTTTTATAACGCATAAATTAGTTAATATGTGTCTAGAATGTTAGCATTTTAGTAAGCATTATCGACTTTTTGAGCAGAGCAAATACAACTTTAACATTGGCTGCAATTAGAATAAGAAGCTACACTTTTCTCTCACATTGCTAAAGCGAAAATTTTAAGCGTAATTGACAACATTTAATAATACGTAATTGTGCACCCACATGCATCTATAAAAATATTCAGCGAAGTTTATATGATTAGACAATGCAAGCGCTTTTAAAAAGTAAACGAAACTCAATTAAAAAACATGCAATACAAATACTTTTGAAAAGTAAACAAAAATTTAAATAAGGAATGTAAAATAATCGGTGAAAATTAAACGAAATTTTTATAATTTGTGGCATTAATAAAATAAAAACAATACATATACATATAAAATACTTAAATATTAGCTAAATAGATAAATAAAAAATAGGTATATTGAGCAAAATATGAATATTTATGCAAAACAGAAGGAAAATTTAGCAAAGAAAACCAAGTTAATTTCTCATAAGCCTGTTTTGAAAAAAAGGATTAAAAAAATAAAATTGTAATAACATTCATTAACCTTAATATTGAAATTCCACTAGACACTGCATTGACGAAAAATTTTTGCCACTTAGTTCCTTTTTTATAGTGAAGAATTAGCTCAGCATTGGAATGCAAGTTAAATTTGCAGTATATAAGTTGGACTTAGAAAATGTAATATTGATGAGTTTCGGGTTGAGAAAAAAGTCATTGTGTATTTTGGTATGTTTTTCAAAGCCAAAGCTTCACATAAAACCATTTCTCATTTATGTTATAAAATCAGGACGAGCACTGGAAACATTTTTTTTTTTTAATGATTTTCAAAATTTCTGCAATCTCTTGCCTCATGTAACGTGGGTATTACTTGATCAATACCTTTATTTTTCCGTTGTTCCTCAAACATTTTTTGAGGAATGATCCTGGAGTGACAGTCCTTGGCCAGATACGAATGTGGGTCGGACTGCGGTCAGTTTTTTTCGCCATCAACCTTGGTTAGCCTTCATTACTGGCTAACATCTTTCATATCAAAATTACAAGCTCTAAATTTCTTGAACCAGTTTTGGCATTGACGTTGTTTTAGAGCACCGCCACCGTCCATTTTACGCACGAAAGTATAACAGCAAAACATGGCGAAAATTCAGAGTTTCGTCTTCCACTTTAAACTTGTTGTAAAATCTTCAAAACTCAATGACTTTTTACTCCACCTGGAATTTAAATGATATAAGTACTTTTGAAAAGCGCGGCTTCGGCAATAACAATTTTGTCATTTAATGTCAAGTGGATGTTGTCCATGGGTCTTACTATGACTTGCCATATAAAATATATAGACTTTCGCGTTATTGAATCGCAACCATATCTCTTAGCTTCATTTTAAATTAGTAAAAAAAGGCAGCCGATTAAATTAGGCTTTTACATTTCCCTAAAAATATATCTTATCTTAGGCACACGTGGAAATAAAAAAATTCAAAAAAAAACTTAATAAGTAAATAAAAGTATAGTTTTACATTTTTGCATATTATTAATATTTAATACACCTAATAATGTTATTAAAAATATGCACTAAAGTAGTAAATATAATCACATACGATATTCTCTTTGCTAGCCTAGAGTTTACTGGCAATGCTTACATACATATATATGAACGATATCGTATTTAATGCGAATATACTACATACATACCTTAAAGTATGAGACGATGTTTTTGATATTTGTACTTATTTAAGTTGATACAAAATAAAATAAAGTCTGCAAAGCTTGTGCGTGAGAACTTGAGTGTGAGCACTACTTGCGAAATATATATGTATTTGTATGCGTGTAAGAAATATTTTTGTAGTTTAAGTTTAATGCAAACTAAAGTTCTTTGTTCTAACCCAAAAAAAGCAGAAAATTCCATATGTATTAAATACATTAAGTGTAAACCAAAACACAAATTAAAGCGTTTTAGTCTTAAGTTTAAGCTCGTATACAGTTTTTGGGTTTTGGTTCCAATATTTAGCTTAGATTTATAAATTTGCAATTGCCTTCAAATACCTATGTATGCATGTATGTATGTAAGTTTTCCTTTTTTGCTCAAACACTACTTATTTTATGAAATGTTAATCTTTTGTATACGAAGTTATTATTTTTTTTTGTTTGTTTGTATCAAAACCAATATTTATTTAAATAAAAAGACATTTGTGTATTGAAAAAGTATATCCTTTTGGAATTCTGTATATTTGTAAACTAAGGACGAACTAAGTATCGAATCAAGGGTTCTTTTCTTATAATTTAATTATAAGTAGCTTTTTATTTAGCGGTTCGACTTGGCTTCAATTTTTATAATTTCTTTACTTTGTTTTATTTATTACTAGTTTGCCCTTCTCAGCTTCGCTGAGTGTATGAAATTTCTGTAATTTTTCTCAACAAACTTAAACTCAAGAAACAACAAGAATAGTTTTTATATATCCCGAATGGTTATCTCTGGAAAAAAGGCCTTATCCTTCAACGAAATGGGCTTTCCAAGAAACGACTTCAAGTTGGAGGATATTGCCTCCTGGTAAGGCGCCACTAATGGCAGTTATAACTATGAAGTACTGGAGACTTTGTCAACTTTGGACTCAGCTCTCTCGACGAAAAAAATCACGCTCTACAAGCGCAGAATCGAGGACGGCGTTGCATAAATATGAGAAGGCTTTGGGTTCTTTCGAGGGAACTATTCTATGCAAGATTTAGAGGTCTTTTGGCGTGAGCAACGGATACGAAAAAGGATGAAATGACGAACAGCATCAGCTGTTTTAATGACATAGACAATCAGCCTCATTGCGTAAAATCATAGACAGGCGGCAGCCTTAATCCGGATCAACTCGTTAATTCGGAATTATCTCGGAAATTAACTGCAGTTGATCCGGATTAAGTCCTAGAGTTAATTGCCAAACTTAACTCGTGTCAAGGGAATATTCGATGATAACACTGACCAAAACTCAGAGAGCGTGGAAAACGGCGAAAGGTCGAAACTAACATGGCATATACCTTTTCATCGGTAATGCAATCTCCATACTAATTCGGATAGGAATAAAATTATAATTGAATAAGAACATATTTGAATTAATACGTTAACTACATTACCGACGACAAGGTGGAAGTCTATGCTAGTTTTGTGTTCTAGGCTCCCTGAGCAAACGAATACGTAAACATAGCAGGCAATTAATTCATCCGCGGTAGCCGAGTGGTGAGGCTGCGTACTACAAGCCTGCAGGTCCCAGGTTCGATCCTCGGTTGGAGAGTTTGCCAAAAAAATGTGTTACTTAATTTTTTTCTTAATTTTATTTGATATATATATATTTAATTTTACTTTATTTTATTTCCGTTTGTTTTATTTGATTCCATGTTTTTTATTTTATCATTAGTTAATTCAAGTTTTTAGGGTTTTAATTTTACTAAAAAAGTCAAAAACAACTTTAAAAAACATAGAAGTTATAATTGAATGAATAAAAAAAAAATAATATTCTCGTAAGTCGTAGACTACATTGTATGACTCGACAACATTGGCATTGCCTAGTGTGGCGCCGAAATAAGTAAACGCCGAAAATCCAGTGTTGCCAAGTTTACACTCGTAATTAGCTTCATAGTTAAACGCATGAAAATACATCTATTCCGTTGTCTTGGCCATATTTGACGCATGGATAACGATGCACCAGTGAAAAGATCGATCGACTCGACACCCATGTGTGGACAACGAAAGCAAGGGTGTCCACGAACAAAATAGAAGGACCACCCTAATCTTCAAAGGGTATTGTGTAATTTATTCGATTGTTATATTGTAAAAACCTTCGTTAAAGAAGCCGACGAGGGTGTTACTGCTCAGCAATTTCTGTTAACCTGACATTAATATAGTTAGGCCTCTTGGCCTGTCGATAGGTTAGAACTTCTCAAAGGGTTTCTATTTCCTACAGTTGTATGAGATGGTTCATACAAAACTTTTCCATTTGATTTTTCAGCGCCATAACGGTAAATTTTGTGGTATACTAGGAGTATTTTGGTATGGAAAATCGGTTTATTTACAAGGTATCCACAATTACAAGATAGCACGGCATTTAAGCGTTTAGATGAGTTCCCTTACCATTTGCAGCCGATTCCAAGCGAAAAACGCTGCTCCGCCTCGCCAAGTGTGAACTGCCGTAGTACCGCCTTGCTTCGCCCGGAGCCGCTCGGCTCGGCACCGCTTTCAGTATGTACGTACCCAAACCGTCCTACCAGTGGCTTTGGCAGGAAGAATGCTCTTTTGCTCTTACGGGAGCTCTTCCTCCCGGTTTGGGAATGAAGAGTTTTGACTATTTTCCAGATTTGTGGAATGTATG